CTAGGTAAAGTAGGCAAGGGGATTATGACGGGAAAGCGTCCAGTCCTTGTGGATAGGCAGGCAACCTGCATGAGAAAGAAGAGAAGAGGCTCAAGTAGGTGACTTCGGACGAGTGAATCTATGCATATCTAATCCTCAGAAGAAGTCTAGGAGCCGCTATCTATCGAAGGTGAGCTTAGGTGACGTTGGTAGTTGGAGTTAGGGCGAACACAAGGCTGCAGCCTTAAAACGTTGGGAACTGCCTTACCAAACCTACCGACGTCCATATGTTAAGGTACCGAAGTGGTTCAAGTACATGCCTAACATACCGACAAACGTGCAAGTTGCACGTCAAGTACGTGAGGCATGAGGAGGGGCCACTACGTTAGTCAGGTACCTCTTGCGCCCAATACTACTTAGGTACCTAGGTAGATACCGACGTGGTAACGACGTCCTATTGGATGTCTAAGCACATGACTGCAATCAGGAGGAAGCTACGAGTGCTCCTCCACCTACCTAAAGTATCTCTGTACATATGCTAGGTACTTATGTAAGTAGGTAGGACGATACATGCACGTAGCTGAGGCATCATGTCATTCTAATGTCAGACGGGTCAAGCCGTAATGTACCTGACTAGCGACGTTGGGTCGAGAAAGAGGCCTACATGTGCACTGGAACAATTATTTGTCATTGCATTGCCTGTAATTTGCTTCAACACCAGATTGACGTGTAGAAAACTTCATTATCTATACCTAGGTAGGTACTCAATGGCAACATAATGCAACAGATTTGAGCAACAAGGTATTCCGTACCAGGTACTTACGTTGGTAGCTGCTTGAATCCGTTTTTAGCCCTATAACCCCGCTCTTCAGGCGGGCCAGGCACCTCAGCCGCAGCGGGGTGACGCCCTGTACAACCTACCTAGGTAGTCTGTGCGGCCCCTGTAAATCCACATACCGAGCACGTGCCGGTCGGCTCCTGGAACGATCCATTGTTCCATTCTGTTGTGGAGAGAAGGTATCACCGAAAACGCCTGTTGTAAGGCAATATTTCGATATGGACAAAGTCAGCTCAATTGCGGATTTATTGTAAGGCATTTTATCATGGGGAAAGGAATATTTATAAGATCGTCCAGTTTTTGTTTAAAAAATTTTCACTAAACATATAAATTTATATTAAGAGGCTATTAAATAACATTATTGTAAATGGAATGTAATATAGAGATAAATGATAATTGACAATAACTTATTTCTTTTCTAAAAAGGGGATCAGTTTGGTTCCTATACAACTGGATAATGATAAACAGGTGGTAAACACTGAAGATTCTCCAAGACATATAACCCCTTCATGTGGCTTTGAATAGGCTCGTTAGCCTGCCGGCCCTGATTATTGGCCAAGTTGCGTGGAATCACTTTGTCCATGTCTAGTAAATTCAAATATGGAGTACTTATCGGTACTGGTTTTTAATTTTTGTTTCATTTTATGTGTGTACTAGGCCACTTGGGATTCAATCCTCATCAGCTACCTTTGATAAACGCCCAATCTCAGAAGTCACTACATATCACACGTTTTACACTACAGTGGTGGTGCTAGAGGGCAGGTGCCTCTAGGTAGCGAATGGCCATTGAAGATGAGGTAAGTACTGCTCCTAGCAGCACCATATGGTTAATTGCATTTGGTAGTTTAGTTGGGTGTAAGACAGTTCATTTGTGGATGTTATCTCCTTACGGGGTTCACAATCACATTAAACTCTGATTAACAAAGAGGTTAAAGAGTACCCAAGGGCTGGTGCAGCGACTAGTTGAACTAATGAATGCTACCTAATTCCTATGGGCATCGGAAGCGTAAACTATGCTAGCTACGCTCGGTTCTAGCTACGCTCGGTTTTAGCTACGCTCGGTTGATAAGGGGTCAACAGGGACGACGGGTTTAAAGTAGCTGATATAGGAGAGCTATGAGGGCGCTCCCTCAGGTAAAATTCTGCAACGACGATGCTGGTAAGCCCCCGGGGACTATTGGCTGCATATTATAGCGTTGAGGAACTTGGCAGCTAAATTAGAAAAAGAAAACAAACTTGAACGGCGTCAGATAAAGAAATAACAAATTGTATTGCAGCAAGTAATCACAAAAATGAATATTACCTATTATTTCCATCTGGGAAAATATTCGTAGTCCAACAATAGATACCTCTTCCACAACTAATTCCAAGGACTCGAGGGCTTCATCTTGAGACTTTGGTTTGGATAGTGAACTGAGAGCACACCATATCCCGTCTCTCGTGTTATTGATATTCTCAATACTTGGATCATCTCGAGACACACGTTCTTGCGGCTGTTGATCGGCGGCAAGAAGGCTGTGATGCCCCACAGACATTGATGAGAACCTGCCACCAACCAAGGTCCTATATTGGGATTACGTACAAAAACAAAAGAACATATAGGATATAACTTCACACCGTGTGACTTGAATAGAAAAGAATGGGAGGCCGCAACAATAACAAAATGCGAGGGGCATAGTAGAGGTTACTTGGATGAAGATGTGTAAGAAAGGGTACTGGTTTCTGGTCCATGGAAGCGGAAAGAAATCCATGCTCTTTTCTTACCGAGACTGCTACAAGAAACTTGGTAATTATACCAAATATGTACAGTGAAGAATCCAAGAGCAGATGCTGTCATCACTTACATACTATACGCCACAAAGGCGCTGGTACCTGCAGTATGACAAAGAAATTGTAGGATCATGGAAGCTTGACTGGTCTAGTTGGCGCATATTTCACTTTTGCACTGTGGCCAAGAACGTTACCTACGACTACTTCATTTGTGCAAATATCTAAGAATGACTGGATACAAATTTTACGTGTATTTAAAAAAACATTAATCTTATCAGTTTCTCATATTTGTCTTCAACCATTAGGTGTTATATAGGAGAGCCTCCTTGAGGCACAGTTGTTTGATGCATCCGTTGTAGATGGCCGAAATTCGAAGCACTATCCAGAAGATCCCAGCTCGACTGGTATAACAAAACCATACAATAAAGAAGGAGAAATTCTGCATTTTTAGTCCTGTGCGCATGTCTTAATGAAATATGTCACTGATTCTCCTCGCTCTGGAAACTACGAAGCTTCCTACCATATCCATGGGCCATTATTCTGTTTCGACTACTCGTTTTTTTAGAACAGTCCAGGCATGTCTAGATAGTGGCTCAGTAGAAAGGTTCTCTACTTTGATCAGGCAATATTATCTGCTTTAGCAAACTGGAATGTACATAAGTACTGCCTTGGTGAGGTATCGGCCACGGTGATATCTCACCATGTCGCCCCCCGAAATGCTTTGAAGTAAACAGTGCTTGCCACAACAAACATGGTACCTGCATTTGTTAGGCATTCCCCTCAAACAGTAAGGTATCTCTGGATTTATCCATCCCCTTCTCACCATATCTCCAGACTACCCATAGCCTGCCTGCATTACTTGCACCGAATTCAATGGAGCCCATCACTGGGCAGCATGTATATGTACTATTTCTTGACCCTGGGTCTTTATGCATCTCTGGAAACTACTCTGACCACCCATATCTAGCCCCCCAACCACATTACAGACCAGCAACAATCATCCCTCAAGCACTAGCCTAGCAGTATGTATTCCAAACCCCCTTCCTTCCTATTCTAGCTATAACTTCCGAGTTGCAGTATACTTGCCCATATTGCCTATAATGACCAGATGAATTGAATGTCGTATGTACTAACCCCGGTTCTGTATAGTGTGCATATCCTACGGCGTCTTCTACCGCTGTGGCCACTACACGCGGGATTGGGTGTACTGCAGGGACGCGGAGAGGCGTCGCTTCGACGAATTCGAGGCATGTGAGGATCGCAAGTATCACTTCATCGAGGATTGGATCGACACCTGTGCCGTCGCAGACTGCTGGTACGAGCTCGTCGACCGCCGCTGGCAGTGCTGCGAATGCGAATTCAAGCCGAACCGCACACCGACTTGCGAGGGGAAGGAAGAAAATGGCATGCCCTGCAACCACCACGTCTGCCAGTTCTGTCATCCGGATCGTAAGTAAAGCTCGTTCGATAGAAGCAAGTTGGATCAGGAGTCGCGTGGAAGCTAATTTGGGGAAACAGAGCTGCCGAGAATCCCGATTTACGACCCTGCCATCGGTGACTGGCGCTGAGGTTTTGGCAGCATGCCGTGCAGTTTACGAGTCACATCCAGAAGGATCAAGGGCAGGAGCATTTGCATTTCTCAACATGTGCTGGCCAGAAGACACAGAAACATAAAGTAAAAGCCACTATCAATATCATGGATGCGGAAGGGGAATAACAGCCTTAAAGACGACGCCCTCGAGGTATTCATTGGTATCTGCATCGGGAATACTTGCAACTTCTCATTGGCATACACGTTCATCGGATGGGCATTGGGCACTCAAAGGGTGGTCTTCGATAGCAACAATGCATAAATCATACGTCAGTCAGCATCAACCGTTCACAATTCCGCAATGTCCCTGTTTCAATCGAGTCTATGTCGAAGCCTTGTTTACTGCAAGCCTGATGTATTTGTTGTAGCTTTGCGATGTTGCAAGCATGACGATTCAAGAGACCGCATTGCTGGTATTGTTACATATCGAGCAGCTCTAATTTTTTCTCTATTAGCATTGCATTGCCAATAGTCGCTATGGTGAGTGAGGGCCCTCCTATGACGGCTGAATAAATTGAAGACTTCTTACGAGGATTGCATGTCTCCTAAACATGTGACCTCTTGATCTGTAGGCAGTATACATCTTAAGACGTCGTATTAGCTCGGGATTGCTCTCTTACAAGCATACGAATATCATCTACTCTTTTCGCAATAGCGCCTTTTTCCAGAACACTGTAATCAGCTCAGTACTCCCATGGAATTAATACTGTACTATTAACCATTTCCAGAATGATTACGAGGAGGTTGTGGTTGCCGGTGAATTCTGAGTGAGAACAGGGTGACATTACTTGGAGCTTGATAAAACATCAAAATCTCCAACAAGTCTTTGTGGCTCAGTTGGTTAGAGCGTTGGTCTCATATTCGTATGACTCAATCCAAGATTGGGGAATCCAAAGGTCGCAAGTTCGAGCCTTGCCAAGGACAATGATGTTTATTTTTGCCGTTCCTACTTCATATTTCCTATAGCGAGACTGTCTCACGTAGTTGCAGAATAGCATACTTTTTATTCAATTCATTGCAAAATGAAAATGTTATGCGTCGCTCTGTTCTTAGCTGCTGAATGGACATGTGGAGCGTATGATCTGGCTTACATAAACGCGATATCTACATGAGGTATTACGTTCTCCCCCCTTTATGCTTCCGTGTTTTGCAACTGGGTTGTCAGTCTAATCAATGTATTCTTCGGACTTTTATATTCATCACTAGATTGAGGGAAGCTAAGAGACTCTCCAAGTAAAGGTAACTGATTATTCATCTAATATGTAATTGTTTAAAGTCACTGAATAAAACTCATTCTCGTGATACCGGCCTGCCAAGCTATTCCATTTTTTAGGTCATCGCACTCATTCCTCGTAATGGCTCATCCTACCCATGTCTATGCTAAACACTCCATATCTGGAAGTCACCCGTTTCCCTTCGTGATAAGCAACTAACCGTCTACGCAAACCTCACCTTCTCGCCCTTCGTCTCCTCTCTCCCGTACCCCTGCACATTCACATTCCCCTCCGCAGGCGCCAGGTCCCCCGGCGTGGGCCCCTCACCGACCTCCTTCAGGACGGCCGGATCGGCCTCCTTGCCGCGCCCCTCGGCGACTTTCAGGACCTCGTTCAGCATCCGCGCGCCGTCGGGCCATCTCACCGTGCCGTCCTTCGCCACGCCGCCCGTCTGCGGCACCTCGCCCCGTAGGATCGCGTCCACGGAGATCCGGTCGACGCCGTAGAAGGCCGCGTTCGCACTGTAGCAATTCGGAATTAGCATGCATTCTTCAGGCAATCTAAAAAGCTCTACGCCGCATCTTGGGAACCTTGAGCAGTAGGCAGATATAGCTCCTAGAATGGACTCAAGCGTGAAGAAAAGGGGAAATAAAAAGGACAGTAAGGAAACACATACTCAGGCCTCTGCACGACGACAGTTCCATCAACCTGCACGCCCCCAAACAACCCCCGACTCTTGATATAGCTCCAAACAGGCCGTCCGCCCTTCCCCCCAATCGCCGCATCAACCGCAGCACCAGCGCCGACCGGGCCAGCAGCGACCCCGACCTCCCCCCCGAGCGACAGCCGCGGGCGCGCGAACGCCGCCACCGCCTCGTCCGTGCGCAGGATGCACACGCAGTCGTAGATGTCGAGGCCGGCCATGAGCCCGGCGCCCAGCGTGTGCACGAGGAAGCCCGCGGGCGGCGACCACCCCCTCCCGTCGGCGCGCCGCGCGATCACGATCCCGGACCCGCCCGCGCCCGAGATGTGGAAGCCCGTGCGGAAGGTCGTGAAGATGGCCAGACCCTTCGCGCTCGCGATCGCCGAGGACGGGATCTTGACGAGCACCTTCGGCTTGTTGGTTGGGCCGACGCCGGGGGAGGCGGGGCGCGGGCCGGGCGTTGGGGCTTGGGTTGGTGCTGTTGGGTGTGTTGGTGAGGAGGGGGTTGTGGTCGCTGGGCTGGTGCTGGTGGTGTAGAAGCCGTCTTCTGTAGGTAGATGTCAGTTATATCGTTTCTTGATGTTTCCGTAGGATAGCTGCTAAAGAGAAACATGTAAAGCATAAAAGAAAAGACCACGTACTGCAGAAACTCTTCAATATCCGCGCCGCCTTATCACACTCCTTATCCAAGCTCGTGGGCCAGAAGGCCTCGGAGCCCAGCTTATTCGTCAACTTGTTGATGGGCCCCGAGACCTTGTTGCTCCACTCGTAGAACTTGCGCCCGAAGCCATGGTGCTTCGACGACGGCGAAGCCTCCTGCCCCGCCTGTCCTGGTGTAGCAGCAGCAGCAGCAGCAGCAGTAGTAGTATAATGCGAGGACGCTGAACCCGCCTCCGTCGGCGGCGGCGCAAACTGCGGCACTTGCGCGCTCGCGGACCCGGGCCGCGGCGGCAGCGCAGGCGGCTTCTGGTCTCCCAACGCGCCGGCGGCGGCGGCGCCCGCGGCGTCTTGCTCCGTGTAGCTGGGCGGCGGGGGGAAGTAGGGCTGTTCGCTGTGTGCCTGGTTCTGGTTCGGAGGCGGGCCCGGGGGCGGCGGCGGGTAGTACGTCTGCGTGTGCTCCGGGTTCGCGGGGGGCACGTACTCGGCGTGGTCGTGCTGGGTGATGCTGATGGGCGGCGGACCGGGGGGCGGGGGCGGGAAGTACGGCTGTTCGGAGGTGTTGCCGGTGGTGGTGGTGGGTGGTGGACCGGGAGGGGGCGGAGGATACTGTTGGCTCTGCTGCGCCTGGGCGTTCGCGCTTGTGCTTGTGCTTGGGCTGCCGACGGGATGGGATTGGAGAGGGTGCGGCGGCGGCTGCGGGCTGTCGCCGGGGAGTTCGGCGGTCTCGCTGTAGTAGTTGGGATTGTCACCCGGGACGGGAGAGTGGGCTGGATGTGCGCTCATTGCGACGGACTGAGATGCGTGTTGCAAGTTTGGTTATAGAGGCACGAACGACGGCACGTAGCTGTGTATAGGTAGGCAGGTGGATGAGCAGTATGATTTCTATGTTGTCTCGGGTGAAATAGACTATGAACTGAGGTATACCAGGAGGAAGATCGGGGATGTGTTTGAAAAAGGAGGTAGGGATAAAGGTGTCAAACGGGAATGACCACAGCTACCCGACGCGCATATGTAGTCTACCTATATATAAGCTAACCCTGTTTTGGGCTGCGAATGCAAGAGTGGCTTAGACCTGTGGTTGACTCTTAATTGGACGACGTAGCCAGAGAGGACGGCTAGACGGCTATCACTTCTGGACACTTCCCTTAGGTATGTGATAGAACCCAAAGCTAATGATGGTGCATGAAGTTTGCTCGGGCAACATAAGTCGCGCGAATCTATGAGGGAGGGGATGACGACTGATGTCACCGCCACGACTAGGCGCAGCACCCGAGGAATCACACAAATCACACCACACAAAGCTTGGAAGCTAAGGTACATGTAGAGGCAAATCATGCGCGCTGGCATCGGGTTGACTCCGGCTGATTGAGCATTGAGGGAGCCTTCTCAAAATAGGTCCAGCTATCATGGCTTTGATTCACGGATAGCATTGCCGGTCCTCGCACTATACTAAGTAAGCCAAGTCAGAATGGACCTACGTATGATCGGCTAAGCAATAGAACGTCAAATCTAGAGCTAGGCCACCGTAGCAAATAGAACAGTTGAAACCACGTCCATGACATCTGTATTATCGTCTATTCCAGCCCCTCCAGACGTGCGGTCTGCCACGGTATTACCCTCCTCACCTTGAGGTCTGTTAGAATACATGGGATACACACACTACAAGTACAGGCCTTCGGGCTCGCCCTCCTGCTTGGTGCGGAGGACTCTTTCTCTCGCCGCTCGGAAATCCGCCATCTGCACGCGCATACGACGCTCACGCAGGGCCATCAGACCGGCCTCCGAGCAGATGGCCTTGATGTCGGCACCTGAGAGGTCGTCCTTCTGGCTGATGAACTCGTCGAGGTCGACGTCCTCGTTAAGGCTCATCTTGCTCGTGTGCAGGTTGAAGATCTTGCGCTTGGTGTTCTGGTCGGGGTTCTCGAACAGGATCTTCCGGTCGATCCGGCCCGGTCGAATCAGGGCAGGGTCGAGCGTCTCGATCTTGTTGGTGGCCATGATGACCTTGACGTCGCCACGGTCGTCGAAACCGTCGAGCTGGTTGAGCAACTCCAACATGGTTCGCTGCACTTCACGCTCACCGCCCGAGGTCGAATCGTAACGCTTCGTTCCGATAGCATCGATCTCGTCGATGAAGACGATGGCGGGCGCATTTTCAGCAGCAACCTACAATTGATTAGCAGGTACATAGCACAAACATAGGAAGGGAGTAGTAGTCCCAATTAGATGATAAACATACTTGGAACAGCTGGCGGACAAGCCGAGGTCCATCACCGAGGTACTTCTGGATCAGCTCGCTTCCGACAATGCGCAAGAAGGTAGCCGATGTCTGGTTGGCTACCGCCTTGGCTAGCAGCGTCTTGCCCGTACCCGGGGCACCATAGAGAATGACACCCTTCGGCGGCTTGATACCCATCTCCTCGTACAGCTCGGGATGCAGGAGAGGCAGCTCGACCGACTCTCTCACCTCCTGAATCTGCTGCTCCAGTCCACCAATATCAGCGTAGGACTCGGTCGGTGCCTTGTCCAGCTTCATGACGTTGACGGCGGGATCCGTGTCGTCCGTAAGTACGCCCACGATAGAGACGCTCTTATGGTGCAACAAGACCGACGCGCCAGGCTCGAGCAGATCCTTGTCGACGAAACTCATGATGCTGACATAGTACTCGGGGCCTGTGGTGCTGGACACGATGGCGTGGTCGTCGTCGATCATCTCCTCGAGGGTGCCGACGCCCATGGGACTTCCGCGCATGTCATCGACCCGGCCACGCTCGTCAGCCATGCGGTCGGGAGCATCGAGATCGGGAGCAGGACCGGTGTTGTCCTTGGCGGCCTTGGCTTTTCTCAGGCGCTCCTGGTTCTCGACATATTCCTCCTCGAGCAGGAGGTGATCGTGGATACGTTGCATGCGCAGTAGACGGAGCTTGCATCGACTCGTCGGGTAGACGGCGGGAAGTTTGGCAGCGGCCGAAGTACCGGCGGCCTTTCTCTTCTTGCGCCCGATGCGGGTAGTTGGGCGCGGCGGGGGCTCGTACTTGGGCTTCTCCTTCTGTTGATGGTAGGCAGGTTAGGATCTTGGGAGTATTGAGAGTTGTAGATAGACGGAGACAATGATCATGTCATGCCATCGCGCAAATCAACATACCTTCTTATCCTTCTCATCCCTTCCATCTGGGGCACCGCCCATGCCAGATTGATTCTGACCCTAATTTCAGGATATCAGCATGATGCGAATACTTATTGTGTATCCAGGATGGATTGTAGGCTCACCATCTTGGCTGAAGCTACTGCGCAGCCTGCTACCCAAGTGTGTGTGTGTGTGTGTGTGTATGCAGGGAAACGAGCAA